ATATCTCAATCTTAGTTGTTATTTATTGATACATCATATCATTGTTGTGGGGCTAGTTTTATGACATTGTGAGCCCGTGAGTGAGACTGGAGAGATTGATGACTGGGTGAGGCCGAGAGCCTGATTATGAGTGACAGTTATGGGATCGAGCTGCACGCCGCAACATGCTATATTGATTTATGCCTAGATTTGGTTTATGATAGCGCTTGGGTTGTAGGAGCCCCTCCAAAATCTGCACACCCCAGTGAGCGCGGTTGATTATATTGAGGATGGATCTTCCCTGGACATGGATCTTGTCTGAAATATTTATATACCTGAAGATGGATCTTCTCCATGAGGCCGGATTGGCCTTCCTCGGTACTGAGTGACTGATGGTCAGTGATGTATATATTCCGGGATGGATCTTTCCTGGGCCGTATGGGCTATATACAGTACCGAGTGGTTGAGCATGATGAGTGGAAAGTGTGAGACAATGAGATTGAGTACTCTGAGAGTGTGAGTACATGATTCATCTCTGAGATACATGGCATTGGCATGCACACATGACATAGATGCATAGAGATGCATTTTTCCTTATGTTGTACGGTATCACGTCATCCATGACTTTTTACACACATTGATATGTGAACATAGAGAGGTATTTCACACTTGTTATCTGAAAAGCAAATAAGACATATTATTTATTATTGAAAGGATTTTGGGAAAAATTATTATTTTCAAACTTATTCATATTTTTGGAAACTTCGGTAAACGATTTGGGTTTTCACTAATGTACTTGAAAGGCAGAACCATTTTCAGAAATCATGATTTTGCTGAGTATTTTTATCTCTGAGTTACATCTTGTATTAATTTCTTTAAGTTGTTATGGACTGTTGTTGGCTATTGGTGTGGACTCGACCTTGGTACAAGCTCGTCACTACTTTCAACCTAAGGTTAGGTTTGTTACTTATTGAGTACATGAGGTCGGTTGTACTCATACTACACTTCTGCACCTTGCGTGCAGATGTTGGCTGTTGATGTTGTTGTGTTCGATGGGAGCTGGATTGAAGATATACATGCGTCCCGGCTGTAGCTGCCTCTTGTTCGTGGTAGCTTTAGATCTGTAAAACTCTGTTTATGTACTATTCAAACATACTATGTATTTATTTCATTTCCGCTTTGTAAACTCTATTCTTAGAAGCTCATGATTTGTACTACCAATTTTTGGGAAATGTATCAAATTCAGATAATGTCTTTACTTAATTGCTTTATTGATTATTATTGGAATTGGTTAGTGGTTAACTGGCTTACCTAACGGGTTGGGTTAGGTGCTATAACGACTAGTTGGATTTTGGGTCGTGACATTAAAATTGAAGATCGCTATTAAATTTGAAGAGCAGAAAATAAAAACACCATTGAAGCTCTTTTGGGTATTGAATTATTGAATCTGAAATTTTTATCGAATTTATTTGTTGGAGATTTGGTGTTGTTTCAGTCGTGAAGCTACAAATCAATTAAAGAAGTAATTTTTTTTATAAAAAAAATTACGCCTTCAGGTGGCGCCTTCCTTTTATATAATCCCAGCAAAAAGAGCACATAACAGAGGGGGACATTTCACATGACCTCTGTTCATTACATCCAACAGACCATCCTTATAACTGTTAATATAACAAATACAAAGATAGAGTAGCTTTCTTATCAATATACCAAAAAGCACATATCAATAGTATGCAAGAAAGTTTACTTATGTATGAAAGGAGCTCTCAGAAAGTGCTATACATAAAATGATATAGGTTCAGTAACAAATTTCCTTCTTCCCTTGTGTCTAAATATAGCCATTTGTATCTTATCCATCAGATGTGGGCCTGTAGCTTGATTGGGAAGATCATTCCAGTTATAAAAGATAGAATTCTCATGAATGATGCTCCATTTAGCCAATACATCTGCTACTTGATTAGCTTCACGATAGCAATGCTGGATGGAAAACTCGCAAGATTGCAAGAGTTGTAGAATATCCTTAATTGTGTCCTGCATCAAAGAAGTGATTTCAATCTATTGTTGTTGCGTGATAACTTTAGAAACCAAGTTGTTAAGGATATGTACGGAGATGTTCTTTTGAATTTTTTTAAAAGAAGAAAACCCAAAATGGAGGGAATTGGGTCGGGTAATGCATGGAAAAAAAATTAGGGTGGGTTTTAATTGGATCCGGCTATTAAAATAAGGGTGGGTCCTTTTGTTCTTGAGCTGCCACGTGGCACTCCGTTAAAATTAGGAGTATATTTGTGTAATAGTATAACAGTAGAGACTCAAACTGTCAAATAGTGTAACGGAGGATAGGATTAAACAATATTTGAAAGTAGAGGTATATATTTGACAAATTTCATAATTGTTAATTACTAATGCACTCACTCTTTTTTTGTGATAAGAGTTTGAAATTGGTTTAAAATTTTATTTGTTTTTTAACTATATACATACCGTAGAATTTAGCGAGTCTATTTATTGTGTATTATATGTAGTTGATCATCATGTATGTACATGTATATTCGAATAGATTTTATTATTGTTCGGTTAGTATATAGTTCGATCTACTAATTTAAGAGTGCACAATGTGTAGGCATTTGATTAAAGAAAAGTTGAATTCGATAATAGAGAGTCTTTAAGGAACTTCATCTTCTATCACTAATACTTGAAAAGTCTTCATGCCTTTGGTGCAACAAATTCATTAAAGTTGGGATGTTGTAAATACTTTTGAAATTTAGACAACCTGCCTAATTTAGATTCTTCAATTTACTATATTTTATTTACTAACTGTTGTATTAGTTTAGTATTTCTTTCTCCTTTTTTCTAATTAAGAAAACATGTAAATGTCAATTATTTCGAAAATAGCGAATCAAGAAGAAGAATAAGCGACTTAATTATAATAATTTGGGAGATTCTGGGTCACCTGATAGATTGAAAGATAATTTTTAAAAATTTGCTGATGGTAGAGATAAATTTGTCCGGATAATATAACGAAGGTTAAACGTAGACAATATCCGAAAGTAGAGGGGTATATTTGAACCTTTTTCTCTTAATTGAATAAATCAATGAAGATAGATTATATTTTAAGATATAAATAAAAATAAAATAATAAAAAATTCTTCTAATTAATATTTTTTAAGGATCCTAAAAAAAAAGGAGGAAAAAGGTCATTATTACCCATGTACGATTGTAAATAGTACATGTTTGTCCTCCGTTTCATTTTACGCCTAAAACCCACTCTACCGTTAACAAACTTGATCGAAATGCCCCTAACCCTAACGGATGGCCAATGTGGCAGCTAACTCATTCCATTTTTTCCTATACCAGCTGCCAAGCCACTTATTTACTCAATTAAAAAAAATAAAACATGAGTAGGAAGGCTGATAGCGAAATTAAACCAGAATCTAATATGACTGGGATAATACTCAGATGCATTAAACAATGTAAAGTTTAGTACTCCATATCTCATTATTGCTTTATTGGGTGTTGATAGCTTACGGTAGAAGGAGGCCATTCAATCGGTTAGTCTAGCCAGAGGCAGACCTACGTTGTGGGTTGAGAGATCACGGGACTCCGTTAACCTCGACAAAAATTATTGTATATATATGTTTATATATATGGGACCTCTTAAATATTTAAGATGTGCCCCAAATACAAAAAGGTGAATAGAAAAGTGGTTGCGTTGTGCATTTAAGTTTGCTTCTTGTCTAGATGATGTGGGTTCGAAACCCTCTTAAGTCTTTTCTCTTTTTTGTTTTAGTTCTTGGAATATAAAAGTTTTTAGACTTGATAGCAAATTGTTTTAATTTTAACTTTTATCTTCTTTTTGAATCCAACTATAGCTTAGTACTAATACATAATAATCAACTTAATTAGTTTTATTCTCTTTCAAATCCCTGCCTTAAAATTAAAAGCCTCAAATTGCAACTTATCATTCCACAAATGGAAATATACAAATCCTTATTCTACAATCACTTTGACTCCGACTCGGCAATGGCAACTAAGAGTTTTAACATCAATTTTGTGAAAGAATCTCTCTCTGTTCAGTGCTTTTTGTTTTTTTAGAACTTCTTTTTATTTATACTTAAACGATAAGTCATCATAATATTAAGTTTTAAAAGAATTGCACGTCGAATTTAATTTATCGCTAGTGATTAGCATACAATAGTACCCTATTGTGCTCAAATCCTGGGTCCGCCTCTGAGTTTAGCACAGAGTCATTGGAGTTGTTGGTGCTTTTACTGGTGGAGATATGGTGTTTGTGAAAATGGGTAAATGGAGAGATTTTTTATTAAGTGTTTTCAGTGAGAAAATGTTCTTTCATTGGAAGGAAGTGCTCGTAATAGTGTATTTCAACGGAGAAGATGGTGATTGAGGTATAAAGCTATGAAGGCGAGCTGAACAGCTATGGGGTGAATTCAGTGTATTCGTATTGTGCAGTGTGTTTGTGTGTGTGTGTGTGTGTGTGTGTGTGTGAAGAATTGAGTGAATTTCTTGCATAGTGTGTGTGAATTGGTATTAACCTCCAAGATCTAAACTTTGTGGTCAAATTAAACCATATTTCATGGATCTAAACTTACTGCTAGGAGATAGGGAAGCATTTGGTTCGGATTTTACATAGAAGTTAAGAAAACGAAAAGTTATTTTTAGCAACAAGAATCTAAAATTCTTGCTTGTGGAAATAAAAGATGGAGCTTGAAACGGGAAGAATAACACCCATGTTTATAGATTTGATAAAAAAAATCACCATTGAAGAATTTGTAAGAATGCTTAAGAACATAAAATGGGTATTCTAATTCGCTGAAATTTAAGTAAAGTGTGGCAGCTGGCATAGGAAAAATGGTGATGTGTACTAATTACAATAATACAGAAATAATAATGACCTTTTTCCCTAAAAATAAAAATAAAAAAATATATCAGATAATTTGAGGTGGGCTAAGTAACAAATATGCATTCACTTAACCGTTATAAATTAGTAAATTACATATGATTTGGCGTAAACTTTCAGGAGTAACTTTTCTCTCTCTTCTAATTTCACTAGATTCTCATTACTGTGCAAAACGTCATCTCCGAAACCCGAGCTTCGAATACCCAAATTTTTTCCAGAAAAAAAACCTAATTTATTCTCTATTGCAATATAATTTTTTTTTTTTAGAAAATTGAAAAAGAAATATAAGTCATTTCAGTGAATTAGGGTTATAATTCGATCCTAGAGCTATTACTACTGAAAAATTTATGAGTTTTCCATCATCTGAAAGAGTACAAAATGGAAATTATCAGTGAGAGAAGAAGAACCCGATCTCAAGCGGCTGCTATTCTAGTGGAGCTAAAATCCATCAATTTTCAATCAGAAAAAAGACCCAAAGTACATGAAAAAGATGGTGTGAAAAATTTTGGGAAAAGGAAGCGTCGAAAGGGTAGTAATGTCAGGAGAAAAAAGAAGGGAAAATATGTACAAGTTGACTCTGATGATGATGAAGACTATGTGTTTGATAAAAGTCCCAAAAGGAGAAAGCTGGATTATGGACACAAGGGGAAGAGTTCCAGCTCGGATTTGAAGGTACTTTCCAGTTTTCTTTCGTTTTTTTATTACTCTTTCTGCTCCATTGTTATGTGATGTTGTTTGGCTGGACATGGAGTTAGAGACATGTACAAACTATAAGTTAATTATGTCATTAAAGGTAGAATGAGAAAGTTTAAAGTTAAATTATTTCTAAATATAAAAAGATTTCATTCTTTGTGGGACACTCTAAAAAGGAAAAAATGTCTCATGAATTGGGACGGAGACAGTAATATATAATGTATATTATGTGTATATAGCTCTATGTCTGCGCATATACATAGTATACGGTGTATATGTTTAGTATACTGTGTATATATATGGTATGTTATGTGTATTACAGTGTATATGATGTGTGTGTGTGTATAGTAGATGATGTACAAACGGTATATATGTACTTTTTGATTGTATAATATATTTGACAACCTTCTGGTGTATTAACAGTATAGTTGTATCATTGTTATGTAGATTTGGGATTTTTATGTTCAACCGAGAAAGCATTTCACAGCAAGAATTGGGACACACACTAATGTTGATGTTGTTAAATTGTTGAATGCGAAGTTGGATGATAGGCAGATTCAGATGTTCAGAGAAACATGCTTCGGGCATTTTCTTGATTTGCCCGATGTATTGGTTCAGCCTCAATTGATACACTCGCTATTGCTGAGGGAGGTGGTTCACGAGAGAGAGGATGAGTTGTGGATTTCAGTGAATGATGTCAGGCTGCGTTTTGGGCTTGTTGAGTTTGGGATTATCACCGGGTTAAAGTGTACGGGTGATGCTGATATGTGCCTTGATTTCGACGGAACGAATCGGTTGTTTGATACGTACTTTTCTGAACTTACCAGGGTACCTAAGCAATCCTTAATTGACTGCTTCCTTAATAAGAGATGGAAATCCGATGAGGATGCAGTCAACATTGCTGTCCTATATTTCATACACACATTCTTGCTCTCCACTCTGAATCGTAATTATATCACGAGGGATGACTTTGGGCTCGTTGAGAGCGGTGCATATCAAACGTACCCTTGGGGAAAAGTTGTCTTTAAAGCCACACTGAAGTCTATTAAGGGTAGGTTGCTTGGGAAGCCCTCGATGTACAGGCTTCGTGGATTACCATTGGCATTCCAATGTTGGTTTTACGAGTGCTGCCCTTATGTTAATAAGAAGATTGCTTTCCGGGTTGATGACAAAGTGCCCCGCATACTTAGTTGGAAAGTTACAAAGCAGCCAAACCTCAAGAAGTTGTCGAATGGGATTTTCATGCAGAGGCGGGATCAGGTAATTGGGAAGCAGTCATTTTTTTTATACTGTGTTAACATATACACTTGATATTCCATTAACACACACACTAATGTAGGATATATTTTGCACTTTAAAAGTGTATATTAATGGTATTATTCTAGTATATTATATTGTAACATTTTGCTATACATGTAAAACCATTACTATACCATCTCAGAATGGTATATCTGTGGTGTAATTATTGTTTATTACACATTATTAGTTATGAATCGACGTACGTTTAATCTCTTTTCATGCTAATGTTTTTTTATGTAGTTTATGCTGAGGAATATTTCTCCAACAGAATTTGAGCAAACAACACTGAATTTGCCTGAATCATTTGAAAATGAAAGGGATAATGAGGTGGCATCTGGAGATGGCGCTGAAGTTCATCTTAGTGATGATGACTTTAGCGGTTCGCCGCCTCAAACAAGTAGGAAGCAGCCTAAAACCAAACCTGATCATCCCTTGAACAATGATGACTGGAGCATCGAGTTAAAAAGACTGAGTGATGGACAGTCGGAGTTGAAGAGTGAGATTCAGATGGTGCGACCACTTGAGCTATTTTAGTTTAACATTTGAATTTTTATACACAACAGTTTTTTAACTTTGTTTTTTTCCCCTTTCACTAGCTCAACAAGGAGGTTGCATCGCTCAAGGACTGCATGGTAGCATCCTTTGCAGATGCTTTTAAAGCCATCAAGTCTCTGTCGAAGAAACAAAGAGAAAAGATTGCTTCCGAGGTGATGCACAAAGTAGGGGTTCCTTTGAATTTGTGTGTGCTATTTCAGTATATACCTGAAAATAATGATGTTTTTCATTTTTGAACAGCTTGATGGAGAAAATGGCCACCATGACAGACATGGCGAAAGCGATTCTAGTGACTTTAGTAATAGTGAAGACAATGGTTGTGAAGGTCAAGAGCATGGCAAGGACTCTATGGGCGACAAGGACAATAGTGAGAAAGGGAATGAAGTAGCTTTGGGCGATGCTGAGGGCCGGGAGACAGTTAGAGATCCTGTGGAGGAGGGTGAAAGGATGGACGTATCTGCGTCTCCGATTCTTCCAGATACATGTGAGGTTTCAGACCACATTACACCGGAACAAAGTCATCCGACACCAATTCTAGAGTCACCATATGTGAACCAAGGCGACACTGGTGTTGAGGGTTCTTCCGAGAAGTCCATTTTAAAAGGAGAGCACCCTTTAGAGAGCAAAATTGTTGATAATGTTGATTATAGTTTGTTGTCTGAGTTTGATAAGTGGGTTGACGAAGGGATGAAGAAAGAAAGCAAGTAAGATGACTGTTTCAGTGTTTGCTACCTATGAAGCATTGAGAGGGAGGAATGAGACCGGTTCAGTTTAGCAGTTTTACATCGAGCAAATAGCATTTCGTGTTAAGCTCAAACAACATCTTCCCAAAATTCTGCGTTTTCCTTTTAATTTATGCATCCTTTATTGCTGTTGACGCTGTTAAGAACCTTCTTTGCTTTATCGTAGGAAGAAAAGGTCGGAGAAGTGTATTATGTTAGTGAACCCGTGTTCTTGATTTTGGCATAATAGCAGAGCTAACATTTCCCTTCCCGACAATGATTCTGCCAATTTTAAGGTTTAGAAACAAGAGACTAAATTCATTTGTGAATAAAGTGCAGTTTAGATTGTAGTTTTTTATTTTCTCTGCATACTTTAAGCCTTGTAATGTTGCTTCTTATACATTGCAATTGAGAAATCTTTGTTTTCTTTTATATTTTTCCCCTCATATGTGCCTTCATATTTCAACAAAAATGATAACAAAAATAAAAACAAAGAGGGAAGGATTGGATATCTGCATTTTCTAGTTTCTAAAGGTGGACGGATGCTTCTGAACTTTGATTACTTTATTCTATTATCATATTTCAGAACTTAAAACAATCTTTAACGTTGAAGAATTGAGAGAGAAATGATGGCTATGTGTGACACAAGGATCACTGGAAACTTTTTAGATTTAATTATTAGGATCTCTCCTCACAACTCTGTAAATTACTGTTAATCCATTAGTTTTTCTCTTTTTTCCCTGAGCACAGACCACAGCTTGCAACACCTCAACTAAAATCCACCAGGTACCTGCTACCTCCGGTCAGCTCATTTACCGAACAACTTTGATGTTACCTCCATTAGTTAATAGAGCTAATTTGAATGTCAATAACCCAAATCCAAATTTAATGTAAATTCACCTGCAGAAATTCTAAACACCAATTGCACTGAAAGCATCTGGTGAACAAACACCATAGATACGACTAGCTAGGGAAAAACTTACCAGCACCTGAAATTCATACCAAGCGAATAAATACATGACATGAAATTCATATTCTCACTTTATTTTTCCACTAATCATGGTAAACTAATGCAGTTTGGCGTAAATACAAGATGAGAGATAAGTTTTTTCCAGATAGATACATTGGAAAAAGAGTATGTAAAAGAAAAAATGGAAGGAACTAGTTAATAAAGTATGCTCATACAAAAAGGATTTCCAGAGAAATAGTGGTGGTCTCACTGTCTCAGGCTCTAAGCATTCTACTTTGAATGCATGAAAATAAACAAATATCCATAATAGGTTCGAGCCCAGCGCCAAGCAAACTAACTCTGGTATTTATGTGGAGAAGGATAGAGGGGCGACCCCATCATCCCCAAGTTTTGAAGGCTATGATTGACCCAAAGGGTCGGCTCCAGACAGATTTCTCGATCATAGATCCTCCCATTAGCAGCTCAATCAGTCTCTAACCTTGCAATATAATTGTCATAGTATTTTGCAGCTTGTTCCAAGTCCCCAAGCTCAGTATAACAATCAGCTATTGCTCCATAAGCTTCTGTGTTCCCCGACTCCTCTCCATGTCTTGCCGATATTTCAAGAACCATAGAGTGGCACTTAATAGCTTCCCGGTACTTGCCCTGCCGTTGTAAAGATGCCCCTGGAAAATCCAACATAAAACTTTGACACTCGTACATCGCAATAAAGGAGAGAATGAGCAGCATTGTGTATATGGTCATGTTTGTATGTGTAAAATTCTCCCTCTCTACCATAAGGAACAAGAGTTACTGGAGTCTAATCCAACTTATTAGAAGTGAGATTCAAAGTAGTCAAAAGTGAAAAGCGCAGAAAAGCACCAAAGTCTGTCGGGTTTTACGTGCAAGCAATAACTATCATTAAGTGGAATGTATGAAGTAAAAGTGACATTAACAACTACTACACCTCATTCCCAAACGGCATAAATCAAGTTTAAAAACCATTTTAATTTTCTCATTGAGTAATGATTAGTTTTATGTTTTCTTAAAGCAAGTTTTCTTATCCTAAAAGATTTAATTTCTATTCCTAACCAACAAAAGTTCATTTGTAACGTAGTAACAACGCAACTTGTGATTTGTGGGTTACGCGCACGTCACGCGTTTGGACCCCGGCTCATACTTGGTATTGAAGTGGAGAAGGATAGAGGGTTGGGTACGGAGTTTCAATATGTGCGCTACTGGCCCTCGGGGATTTCTTGATTATCAAAAGAAAGTTCATTTTTGACAATAATGTAACAGTTTACCGATATAATTATTGTCTAGCACTGTTTTCTTGAAAACGGAGCCCATGGATAATGAGGTGCATGCCATAGCACCATAGCGCCTACAACAAAGTGTCACTTAGGCGAGGCGACACACACACAACCTGGCTTTAAGTGCAATAAAGAAATAGAAGGTTTAAACAGAACAAGAAGATGGATGTACCTAAGCCCCGCGCTGCTTTCTTTTCCTTTAAAGGTTCTTTTAAATTCTGTGCAAGGTCAAGAGCAGTTTTAAACTCCAATTGCGCCTTTTCTGGTGCTTGGTTTCTAAGAAATTTCTTCCCATTTTTCAAGCGAGATATTAATTCTTGTTTTCTTGGATCAACAATTACTTCACTTTCTGCAACCCTGCCACCAACAGGAGCGTAACTTAAGTTAGGTGCATACGACTCAATTTTGACTTGCCTTCTTAGAGCAGCATTGATCTGGCGGAGCTGTTCATTCAACCGCTGCAATTCCCTTTTTCGCTGACGTGCAAGTAGTCCTGAAAAATACAAATGTACAAAACGTGTAGAATACGTACTCAACTAACAAAAATATGAAACCAGGGAATCACAAAATAGGAACAAGGAATACCATGCTCCGGCTAAGACAGGATGTAAGCATACGCTAGATGTATAAAAATTTTAAAAACTGAATGACGGAGAAAAAACATCGACAAAACAGTATTAATTGTATACGATAAATCGTCATGGAAGATACTCTGAGAACTCTTTCGTCATAGGGAAAAGGCCAATATTAAGGCTTAGTTTCCGCAATAGAAGCTGCAGCTCTGACCTAGTCGTTCGATTAAGCACAAAGAATGGGAAGAGTGTTGCATAACTTTCTTGAGAATAACTAAGAACCTATTTACTAGCATACAGGACCTAATCTTCAAACTTACACAGCACTTTGTCTGTGAGTGCAACTATCAAAGAGTGGATCCCTTAGATAATACTTAAAACTCTAGCAAATTTCTCGGGTCTCCATCAGAACAAATTCTGAAATGACAACATTAAAAGTGTAGATTGTATAATATTGGCCTGAGATGAGTTTAAATGGAAAAACATGGTCAGTAAGGATTCATATAGCCGACCCCAACTTGTTTGGAACTGAAGCATAGTTGTTGTTGTAACGCTAAAAGTAGAGATCCTTCCTTTCTCAATAACATCATTTGACTGAGAATAGTGATGACTGAATGGTGAACTCCAGGGTTCTAAACAGATTTCGAAATTTATCATGTTTGATATGAAAAGCTTTTAACTTCTTAAGATTGAATTTCGAATACCCATGTAATCTTTCAAGTGCCTTCTCAAACAGAGTATCATATGCAACATATACTCATGCACGATCGTAAAGTTTATGTTCAAACTTTACATTCACTGAGATGTATGAATTTAAGAGTTACGGCTATTCACAATAATTTTCATCTTTTCAAAGTTGTAAGCCTCGCAACTCAGGAAGAAATGATGTGCTCATGGGTAATACTCATTTTAAGCTATGTTATGCGGACTCTCCAAAATGATGCCGTATTGTGTCAGATCCTCCAAAAATACACTACTTTTGGAGGATCCAACACGCGGCCAACGACATTTTTGGAGAGTCTGTGCAACATAGTTTTTAAGTACCTTACCTCCAACAGTGGCACCAATAAGCGCAACGAGCAGCAGTAAGGGCATATTCATATTGAAGAGAGAATTTTCAGCTTCACATGTTTCAGCCAATGCTTCTAAGGGTGAAGTCAGCATCAATGCATTAGCCACAATTACTGTTGCTGCTGGCTGCCTAAACTGCACGATTTCCTGTCATATGTATAATTGAAATTCAACATGAAGAGGAGCCAGGAATTGTGATCAACAAGTAATACTATTTTATATTTACCAGATTGAGAATTAACAGACTGAATAAAGTTGGAGCAGACGTTAATATTATTCAGAAACACTTACAGAAAATAAATTTATTGAGTCCGCTTATTATGGACTGTTACATGTATTTATTGTTTAGGTGATCTGATAGCGTAAAAATTCTATTACATCTCAATATATAAAGTTAAACTCTTAATAATCTAAGAGTTTAAGTTGTATGCACGGACACTATAACAAGTTTTACTGGATTGACAGTGTAAAATTGTTTTACATTGCCAATGTATATAACTTAAATAGGACGGAAATGACAGCAGCTCTTATCGTCGAAAGAGACATCAAAGAACAGTTTTGCTCTCCAACGAAATTACAACAATAAAGCAACAATTTTGCAGCTGACACAGTAAGCATAAACTAGAAATAAACAAAGGATTTAAGCTGTACACACAGATAGCGTAAGATTGTTTTTACACTAATACTGAATTTTAAGGGGCAAGTGCACAGATAGCCATTCTAAGGATGCTATTTAGAGATTAGTCAATTTTAAACTAAAAATCTTGACTCCATGACAACTCAGTTGAACTAAAAAACTAAAATTCAGTACGCACTGGCTAAATAAATTCTAAATAGCAGCCCTTTAGAGTGGTTACCTGTGTCATTTCTACGAGTTTTAACCTCTGATAACAAGTTACTTACAACTTTTACCAAATTATCAGTTAATGGTTGTCAAGACATTCACCTGTAATTACCTAATAAATAACTTGATTGTCCATAAGTGCATACAACTAAAACTCATAACTCATAAGCAAAACCCAAAAGCCACGAATTCAGTTACCTTGAAATCAATTCCAATGCATTCAGAAGCTTTCTTGGGTATTTTCTGGATAAGCTTCTTTAACAGAGCTTCTTCTCTCCATTTGTTACTGAGCTGAAAAATATTGTGTTTGAGAGGGGGATTTTTGGGTGAGAAAAAGAAGGAATGTGAGAGAGAACGAAGGCAAGGACTCCCTACTAGAAGCCCTTGCTTCATCATCATTGCCATTTTTTCTTTACAATTTGCTTCTGTTTGGATGATCTTTTGTCTTGAAAATTTCAAGATAACATTGTACAGTATTTTATTACTGTACTATTATTTACTTTTGTCTAGAATAAGGATGTAGGATGGAACCCTTGTAATCACTAAAGTTACTGCCGTGGCACCGAATGGTTTCGAGCCGTAAAAATAACCTTTTTTTTGTTCGGAATAAGTATGTATACTTATCCAGAGTTTGATATTTGTATTGGAGTTCTAATTTATACCGTCT